CTAGCATACACTTTGCTTTGTATATCGATAGAATAGAAATATATAAATGCCTGTCTATTTTTTCGATACCAGTATAAATATTTACACGAACAAAACATAAAAAAAATAACTTTTATTGTTCTTATAAGTACACAGGAATTCTATTTAATATCGTAAAATTGTAACATACTTTACATTAAAATCATTTTTTTTCAACTATTTCATTTTTTTAAATTTATAAACGGAGTTTTTTTATATAAAAGGTCGTCCAAAATTTTGAAACTATTATTTTAAAAACTATAAATATTTAAAACGAAAACGTCAATAAGAAGTTTATTTGTATAAGAATTTTAATTAAATTAAACTTAAATAAAACTTAAGCTTTCAATTGAAGATACTAATGTATATAGCATTAAAAATTTAATGTTGATTGTTGGTATATTGAGATTTAATTTAAATCAAGTAAATACCTTTCAAGCGTAATATTTCTCTTCATTCTTCTTCACGTAACATGTAAATGTTCTCGTTTCACCTCGGGCGATTGCTAAAAACTGATGTGCAAAAATGGGATTTCCATCCCTCGCATATTCCGCCTCTCTCCTACTTGATGTCATTGCACCACGAAGCGAAAAGTTTTATATCGGATTTAACGTCATCTTGGCGACGATAGCGTCGACGAACAAAATTTGATTTTCAATACAAAATGGGCCTCCATAGGAACAGCGGACGCGTAGATAGAAAAACGAAAAGGGGCAGTCGTGGGAAAGTCAGCAAGCATTCACAGCACTCAAGCTTGGTTATCCAAAGAAACGATATCGAGTATCCGTTGTATCGTTCTCCACGTTTAAACATAGTCGGAGTATTCCATTCTTTGAGGGTCCATGGAGTTTCTCCGATATTTCTTAAAGCATCTACTACCGCGATAGATTCTGTCCGCTTTATCCCGCTACTTTTCCGAGTTTTCTTCACATATATCATAAAGTTCTCGATAATCCGAAGGAAACAACACAACTCGAAAGCGCAGTTTCTGAAATCGTGCTTGCATTTCCGTGCGTTTCGCATTTCACATTGACTACATTTTTAATATTAAATTTTTGGACAATAAAATAATATACATTAATTCACGAAAGGATGCTGATTGCTTCGTGAATCAAATTTTAGTATGTTTGATAATTTTTGAAATTTAATCTAATACAATAAATTATAAGGAATCCTTACAATAAAGTGTAAGGAAATCTGATTCACAAGAAAAATGTGTTAAATATAAAGTATAATAAAAAAATATAATGGATTTTCTAATTTCAAATTAAAATGTGAAAATGTTATTCTCATTCGTAAGTGAGATCTTATTTAAAATTTGTCTCCGTATAAAAGATATTGATATTCCAAAAGTCTCTCATTTCGTTTTGTTCTTGTTTTATTTTCTGCATATAGATACTTCTGTGAAATCGACAGAATAAATATAATCGAGAAACAACTACGCGTTCAAAGTATCGTTAAAAATAACTATCTATGTAATAGTTGGCATTGTTATACATCGTTCTTTTGCTTGAATAAGGCAAGACGATTCGACTGTAAGTAGGTATCTATTATTTGCTTTTTCTTTATCGTTCCGCTTTTGTTATTGCATATTTCATCGCCTTTCCTGAATGGGATGCAATAGAATAAGAGAACGATTTTGTTCTGAAAAATGTTAAAATTATTATTCCGTTCCTTGAAAGAAACAACACGATTCGAAAGCTCATAGCTCCCGAAGTCGTCGCTCACTGAGGTCTTATTTACTCGTTTGTATCTACAGATTCCAAGTCTTTCTCTATCGCCTCTCTCTAAATCAATATAACGAGCATGATTCGAGAGCAGTATATAAAGAATATCAGTCT